GGCAGGACGCGCGGGCCGAGGGTGGCGGCCCCAGCCGAGCCCTGGGGAGCCGCAGGGAGGCCGCCGGTGAGCTCCGCCGGCTGCTGGCGCGCCTGGCGCCGGGCAACGCTGCGCCGCAGCACCGGTGGGACTGCGGTAGGCGCCTGCCCTCAGACCATCTCCTCTCCTCCCGGCAAGCCCTGCTCTCAGGCACATTCCTCTGTGCTTAGCATACAGACGCAGCCTAAAAATAGTTGCTGTTCCTCCTCAGCAGGATCCAGAAAATGGCTCTTGAGAGGCTGCAGGGAAGGGGCTGGAGACGAGACCGGGCAGGGATCCTGGAGAGGATGAAATCTCTCTGTGGGGGGCAATTCACGCAGAAGGCTCACCCACAGGCTTGAAGGGTTAAATCAATTAAAAGCAGAAGGAAAAGGCCTGAGATGAGAAGCAGGATTCACTTCAAGTTGAAAGAGCGCTAGATCTTGTTTTCACATTAAAGGCAAGAACTGCAGAGGAAGGCGTTTATGGGCTGTATTCACAGTGCAAGTGATTTGAAAAGTATTAGCTTGCATGAATAGAGATGTAGGCGGGCTCTGTAAAGAAGGGTAAAGGAGCACTTTATTTTCTGTCGACATCTTCATATATCCCAAAGGGAGGCTGAATGTCTGCCTTCTTAGGTTATACACCTGTTAGGAGAAATAGAGGCAGCATCTTTGCTCAGAGATGATGCTCTGCCACTCTTTGAGCCATTGTAGTTTTAAAATAAGCCTGGAGTCTTATGTGTCTGGGGCAAAACAAATGTAATATGCTTACTAGAGGAACTACTAGGTGTTGGTTTGGCATTTTATAGGGGCTCAGGTTAGATGAGTGTAATGTTCCCTTCTGATCCAAGAGAGAGGAGAAAGCAACAACAACAAAAAACATCCCTAAAGCAGTACAATGAAGATTTTTGGCCATCATGAGTCATGCCCAGAGCATAATTACAGTTACAGGGGAGCTGTATAACATCCTTCTGACACTTAAGTCACTGAAGTAGGTCTGGATGTGACAACATTTAAGACAGTCAAATATAAGCCTATGATAAAAAATGAAGTTTCTAACAGTTTTCTAAAAAAACATTTTCCTAACATTCCTATTTGCAGTGATGTCTTCCACATTAAACTGACAGTACTGAAAATGTTTGTATCTGGACAGTGCAATCCCCACTGCATTAAAATGATCTTGTCTTTAGTTTCTGAACTTTATGGAAATAAGCAACTGTAAAAAACACTGAAAGTGCATGTATGTTTGTGGGGTGGTGGGCATTTTGGGTTCTGTGCTTGGAAGCAGGTGGCTTTCAGAGTGAGGTTTCACTTTGAAGACTGCTGAGTGAAAAAGTAGCTTCTTTCCTGGCTGATGCTATTTTAAGAGGACTGCTGGCCTCTGATGTGGAACTGGAGACGGCTTTCAAGGGTTGTGTCCCCATACTACAGCGCTACGACACACCTGGCTGGACAAGAATTTCAACTAAAGCAGATCTGCTGAGCTCACACTGAGCTCTGGCTGGTCTCCAAACCTTTTTCTGCTTTTGGGATAACGAAGGGTGGGTCTCCTTGCAGGACAGGGGACTTCCCTCTGTCTGCTCTGTCTTTTGTCCCTTTGTTCTGTAGATCCTGGTCACAGCATTCTTCCCTGTATTGCCCAAATCATGGCTCTGGAATTTAGATGCTTCCAAAGAGACTATTAAGAAAAACCCAGTGTGAAAGAAGAATACGAGTCCCCATGGCTGAGATTTTTACTATGAAGATAATAAGGAAAAATTTCTCATTGACTAAATAATTTTTCAAAATTTATTCACTGTGTGAAACTTATTTATCACACCAAAGAGAATATTTCCATGCACGTGTGCAGGTTATCAGAGACACCCAGGGTGGATATAGTGAGCTGGTCTGTGTGCTGGATGCTTTGCATAGCTCTGACAAAATGAACATGTCGTAAATGCAGTTTATCTGGTTTATGGAATTCCTCTGCTTTGTGTTGCTCCCATATGAGGTGAAGCAAGCCAGAGTATATGAATGAAAGTATAAATAGAAGTTAAAATGAAAAATAAATGCAAGGTTTAGACCAAAATGTTGTATTTTAAAATTGCTGGAAATAATATTGAAGTGTTTTTCTGTGTGCTGCTTGTTTAATTGTTGTTTTCTAATTTAAAACCAACTCATAAACCCCATAGATATTACTAAGTATTCTGCATTAAAATAGAGTGAAAATCAAGAATACCTCTCCGTAGTTAAGGGTAGACCAAATGCAAGGAGTTTATTATCCCCAAGCCTAGCTTTACAAAAATGTTTCAGTGGTTACGATTAACTGAAATCTGTAGCTGCATCATACACATAGAAAACACAGCTCCATATGGGTATGGGTAAGGCGTTTCAGCTCTTACGGAGCCCCTAAGAATACTCCAGATTTTTAAAAAAAAGACATTATTATCTTCTCACGATGAGAAACAAGGCTCTAATTTAAGGCTAAGCATGAACGTGATGAACATGATCAGAAAAAGCAAAATGCTGGTCTACTCTGGAGGAAAGCAGCAAAGGAAACTGGAAGGAGCAATGCTGTAAAGCAGGATTATTTGTTACTTTGTTTTTTTGAAACAGTCTTGATTGTTTATGATATGATAGGATTTCTCATGCTTATTTCCCATCTCTTGGATTCCAGCCCCCCATCAGTTTCTGTGCCTGCTCAGAGGTGCAGTTTCTGTCATTAAATCAAAATGCCTGTTGTGCTCAACAGTAACTTGTTGACACTTGAATTCTATTGCAAGACAGTTTGAGCGCTCTCACCTTCGTGTCACTCGTGTCCCCAGCACAATTCCCTGCTGTGAACCAGCTGACATTTTGACACGTGTTATTAAGCCCATTTTGAAAGCAATTGTTCTGAGGTGCAGGGCAAGTTTGCCCACAACAGCATAGGTGTGGCTGCTTGTCCTGTCTGAATCAACTCGTGTGTGCCTGCCAGGTCCTCCCACTGCTGTTCCCTACCGCACTTAATGCTTGTATCTTTTCTGCTCGTCTTCTTGTGTGCTTGCTATTGATCTAGTGTCACATCAACCAAACATCATCTCACCAGCTAAACGCTGGCTTGCATTCCAGTGCTGCCCTTTGGTACTCACTCACGGTGCATACACATGCTGGTATCGTGTGCCTGCCTATCGAGTGATTTTATTCCGTGCCCCACTATGACACCTCAGCATGTCTGAACAAGTGAAGGAAAGGGAAGGGGACATGCCCTGGGACGGCCAGTGACAGAGATCTTCTCACTAGTTTTTGTGGCTGCAGACCAACATTGACAAGCATGCAGAACAGCAGAGATTGGGTCTGCAGTCGAAGGTTGTAAGGCACAGACTTTGAAAGGATATTCAAAGCTGATGCGATGGTAGATTGGAGTCAGTATTGCTGAATTTCAGGGACAGGATGACATGGTTGCAGGCAGAGCCCCAGACAGGCTGGAATCCTCTGCAGTTAGTATTGTTTGATATAAAACATCATGCAGCAGTACTTTACCTATTTCAGGGGCCTGACAAGGTAGCTTTTGCTCATTTACCCTTCTCTGCCTTAGGGATGTTTACCTCTTCCTTCCCCCATGCTAGTATACCATTCTTTTCCCTGTAAGGGCACTTTCCAGCTCCAGCTCTCATACATCCAGTTCACGCTCCCCTGACACTACATCAGCTCCCTCCCTCCATTGAGCATGATTACTGTGTGCTACTTTTCCACAAGCTGGGATGTTGGCACCTCATGGGCTTGCCCAGTCTGGCTGTTATGGCAAATACAAAAAAGAGTGAGATCTTAAATCACATATTTTGTTCACAGATTCAATAGATTCTTAGCTTTGCACTGGTAAGAGATGATACGAAATCACAATACATACTTAAGGGAAAAGGATTTTAAGGTGTGTGATGGTATGCCTCTTTTTGTGTGTTGTAGAAGTAGGTATTTTGTAGTGCACACTATGTTGATCTGCAAGGTTTAAAAATGGAAAAAGAAGGGAAAAAAAACCCGAGCAATCAAAATGAGACAGACAGCCAAAGACGGTGGTTTGTTTAGGAAGGAAGCTGGCACAGCAATGCAGTTCTCTTGGCAGGGCAACTCAGGTTTGCTATCCCCTTCTATTTCCACATTAGCTTTGAAGGGTCAGCCCCTTAGCAGCAATGCAGGATCTCTTCCTGTTTTGTGTGCTGCCTTTCTGAACCGTCTCTTTGTTTCAGGGACACCTGATGTGTAACATCCTCCAGAACAAGGACAACCTCAGGTGATGTCCACCATATTGCCAGCCTCCCTGTGCTGCCCACATCCTCTGAGAGACAAAAAAAGAGAGGGCTTGAGGAAAAGACTCATCAAGAATGACAGAGAGGGAGGCAGTCAGAAGCTCAGAGATGCAGTTCCTCAAAGGTTGGTAAGGCATATGCACCTCTTGGAGAGCATGGACAAAGATTGCCTTTGTGACCCCTAAGTATTTTGCAATCTCTCCTCTTTTAAATCCATTTTGTTGGATGTGACTTTTGCTAAAAAGAAGGCACAAATGCCTTTCTCAGCATGTCACAACTTTTTTGACCAACCCACGCAGACAAACTGGAGACCTTGAGAACATACACTTCCGTTCTATATAAACAGTTTAAAATAGATTTTAGCTTTGCACAGCATTACGTACAGTTACTATTTTTAAATGCACACCGATTAATCTGATGTGTTCATTCCCTTTTCGCATGTGCCCTTCATTCATGCTTTTGAGTCTTGTACATGTTCAGGTCCCTGCCTTATGAAAACCAATATATCCACACATTTTTAATTAATTCAGAATACCAAGATTTCCCTCCTCTCTACCAATATAGTTAAACAGATGTATGAAGCATGAAAATAGTTCTCACACTGTGTCATGTGCATATTAAAACATGCAGCAATTATGATTAAATCCTCTCACAAACATGCCAACATTGTTGACATCTTGCCTCTAGCCTCGAGGAGGGCCATACATCCCATCAGTCTGTGCTTCTGAGTGGCTGGACATCCCAGAAATGCTTCTGTGCTGAGGTGGCTCCATCCACCAGCTCTGCCTGCTTCCTTCAGCACATCTGCAAGACTCCACCCTCCTACTAACAAACATTTATGTAGCTGCTTATTGTACCTTTCAGAAGGGACAGTTACTTCTCATCCACAGACAGCCTCTCCATCTGCCTTTCAGTCATCCATGTGCAGATTTCATTGTCATTCTAGAACTCCTAAGGGCAGGGAGGGAAGCTCTTTCTGCTGTCCAGATAGCATGTAAAATCTTTCTGGGCAAGGAAGCAAAGGCCGAGGGTGCATTTCAGAATGACACATCCCAGAATGAACACAGAGAGTCAGTACACAGGAAAGGGCTCTGCAGCTGCAGGATGTTCCCCATGGAAGAAAGGCAGCCTTGGACATCCCCAAGTCCACACACACTGCTGGTTTTCCCAGGTCTGCAGTGCTGGCTTGGGTCCAGAAGCTTGCTGCTTCATGAAGAGATCAGCAAGAAACATCTGCTGGATTTCAACTTTTTCCTTTTCAGATGCCCCATTACACTTGCTCTAAAGTCACTGCATGACTTAAAGGCAGGAATCCAAAGAGCCTGCTGCAAACTGAGCTGTGAGGATTGCTCTGATCGCCAGTGTTTCCTGCCAGCTGCTGACAATGCTTAAAACACAGTAAGGTCTAGCTCACAAACACTGGTGGATAAATAAGACCTGGCAAGAGAAATCAGGGGAATGATTTGGTTTGCACCAGGCCACTGGATCCCATTGCTTTCTGCAAGAGATCCTGAGTGCCGCTGCAGAGCAATGCGCTATGGGTTTTGGGAGCAGAACAGAAAACACATTCCTGCAAGCAGCCAGCAATGGCAAAAGACAGCAGCTACGTAGACATAAAAGACATTACTTGAGGGGCAGTGAGGTGGAATGTATGTGCTGATGGTCAGAATTATTGCAGCTGAGTTACCAGGGATATATGAAGCCCATACTCATGTCTCAGTAGATGCTCATAAGTTTATTCTTAAGACAGACTGCCACAGGATGGAGGAACGGAAATCCCTTTTCCTGCTACATGGCTGGTCTTTAAGCAGCAGAAGGGTATTTTTTCACTCTGTCCTTTAGCCTGGCTTTTGCTTAGAAACTGCAGGAGAAAACTAGGGAGGATGAATTATGCTTCTGTGAAAACATTCAGTGCACATCTCTAATCTAAGAATAACACTTAAAGGACAGTCCCAGAGACGAAAAGAAACAAGAGTTGGTTATGAGGTAACATTAGGTACAGACTTTGCACATTAGGATTTACTAGGCTAGAAAAATTTAAAGTTCTCATTTAGACTATCATGATTTTAAAATATTACTCGTTTCAATCTGACTGCTGGTCTGTGAAGTTAATTTGGAAAATTGTGCTCTTGCAACTTGGCTAAAAAATTACAATGAAGTGAAGTAGAAATGCCTGGTGCTGGAGACTTACATGTCTGTCCCAGTGGGGAAGCATCTTTTACAATGCTTCCGTGGGCAAAAAGACCAGGTTAGAAGACAAAGGCCTGGTCCTGTCCATGCTTAGATATAGCACTGTACTCTCCACTCCCAAACCAAGACTGAAACCCCTTATCATCCTGCACCCAAGCCTTCCTACGCCCACATCTCCAGTGTACCCTTCTCTACACCAGCTGTCTCTTATTCCCTGTGCCCCAGACTCTGCAGTAACAAGTAACTCCAGCTGTGCAAAGCTCAAACCAGAGCCTGCCAGCACAGCCTAAGCCCTCGCACACTTCACCTGTTCCCTGTTTAAAAATGTGCTCCTTTAAGCAAGATAAATTTAGACTGGAAATGACCCCCCAGGCTTGTTCCTTCTCTGTTTTTCTCTGATACTGTAAAGAATTTGGTAAGAGAAATCTTTTCCTCAGATATTTGCAATGAGGATCATATCCTTTTTTTAACCTTTCTCTTTGATAAATCAAAGAGCTTGACTAGTATTGAATAGTGCTTTGCTAAGAACAGGTCCTTGTGGGACAAACACTAGTAAAAAGGATGGCACTGAGGATGGCTTCCCATTTATAATTAGTTTTTGAGATCTTGTACAGTCAGATCCCAGTCTGTTCCCATGGTTTCCATTAGTCTGTATAAACAGGACTTCAGTATTTCTCTCTTGGCTTCCTAAGACTGTGCTCTGGACGTGCAGGACTTGGGTGGACATACACTGCAGACTCAGCCTGCCCCAGAATGACCAGGTCCAGGTCTCACTGGTGTCCAGCAGTCCTGATGGAGCCGCTGCCCTGACTGCTTTACTGGGTGCCAAGAAGTCCTGAGGATCTTCCCCAGATCTTTCTCTGGATGTCCCTTCCCATGTGCCAGGCAAAGTTCCCACAAAATAAACGGCAAAGCCTGATGTTCAATAACCTCTATGGATACCCTGACACCACTGCTGACTTGGAACCCTCCAGCAGTACCCAGATGCAGCTGTGCACGTAGAACAGACTGATGGAAGGGCTCAGGCTCATGTAGCTACTCTGAAGCTCAAATCCCCTCTTCCTCATTGATCTGAGCCCACAGCCCTGTGCCAGCTCAGACCCTCACTAACAGGCTCTGGCAGCTCATAACTCCACTAATTAGACCTCAGACTGGGTCAGGAAATGACCTTTGTGCTCTACACAGCTCAAGAGCCTGTGTCTCTCCTTGCTCAGAGAGGCAGTGTGGAGGGTGAGGAGCTTGGGCAAACAGTGATGATAAGGCAAAGAATGTCTTGCTTTGCTGGCTCAGCACTGGAGGTGGCTTTTTACCACACCTGCCTGTAAAGGCAGCAGAAATGTTTGTCTTGGGAAAGAGAAGGAGATGGAAGGAACCACCTTGTGCTTAGCACAGCCCAGGCAAAAGACAAGACTTTGGTCAAGTCTCTGTGAATTTGTTCAGGCCTATTGGGGAGAATTATGACAATGCTGAGGAATCAGTGAAGGGCACAGTTGGCAGGCTCTCTATTCACCTCTTATTTTTTATGATTCTTGTGGAGACCCCCAACTCCAGATGCTGGATCCCCTGCCCTCAGCTGTCTCATGATGGGATGTCTACATTCTTAAGTCTCAATGGTGGCTTTAGGTATGGCTGTAGTCTCTCTGGGACACGCTGCACAACACAGAGAGACCGTGACACATCAGCATCCTGCCATGGGCAAAGGCATCACAGCTGTGGAAACCTGTGATTATTTCAGCCAACAACTTCCTCAGTCTCAAAATATTTGGTTTTAGCAGTTAGGACAAAGCATGATGGCAAGAGGATATTAAATCAGCAAGCATACTTGCATGTTGCGTCTCATCGAACCTTAGTGAATCCTGAAGAGTTTTAGGTGGGATTTACTGGAGCAGAAATAATGAACCAACTTGATCACAAAGTAGAAAGCCTGGTTACTCCTGAATGCCTGCAGCTCTTACACTGCTTATTGTGAAGGAGACAGCAGATTGTAGCATTAATGTTACTTGCTCTGGCACAGTCTGGTAATGGCCCTTCTGACCAAGTGTCAGGTAGCCTCTAGGAAAGCCTTAAGATCCTTTTATTTAGATCCCAAGGGGGAAACAGCTGTTCCATTGTGCTGCAACAGAAAGACCACAGCAGTGATATTGAGCACAATACGGGTAATCCTCAAAAAGTATCCAGTATCCATTCTTCAAAGAAAGGGTCCATGCTGGACAAGCCTGTTGCTGACAATCATGTTCCAGCCTGCTATGAAAGCCCCTACTGAAGACATGGCAGAGCCTAGAGAAGTTAAACCCTGACCCCTTTGGGGTAGCTGTTCTCCAGTAATGTCTCCACTGCTGCCCTTCAGGCACTGGCTTTGAACAGGACTAACATCAGTCAAATGTCTCATGTCACAGTGAAGCCTTAGCCAGCCCTAGTCTGAATAAGGACAGAAGTAGGATGACAAATAATGTCAGCTATGAATAACATTATTCCTTAACATCTAAGGAGGGTGGGACTATGAATTTCTGAACTCTGATTTGCTTCTAAGGCATCCTAAGAGATAATCCTATGTAATACTATGGGTTGCATTGCTCGCTGGCACTGACATGCACAGCTCCATTAGCATTAGGTGCATAGCACATGCTCAGGCAACAGCTGTACTTGGCCTCCTCTCTGGTTCTGCTCTCTATTAAGTCTTATGTATGATATAAAAATACTGGGCGAAATCCAGTCCACCTTTTTCTGGTTTGAATGCTGTATCCTGTGTTTGATTCTTTCTAGGCCCACAAGTGAATTCAAAAGAGCTGTAGTTGTTCATTTGCAGCTTGCACAAGGTACAAGAATACATTATCCGGCCCCGAGCTCTTCATCTGCAGGACGTGTCGCAGATCTTGACAGCTGATCACTGCATTTTCCTGCCAACTTCTCTTCATGGTCTGTTAGCTGCTGTTTTGGAGATCAAACTTGCTCTTTGGCATCTATTCAAGCTATAGAGTCCAATTTATTTCTAGCACAACATCCGCTGGCATTGCCTCTGCAGTACGTTGGCCCAGTCTGTGCAAGCTCACTAACTCAGAACTAGCTTCGACTTCTGTTGCCAACAGACAGAGGCAACAATTAAGATGATGACTGTGTTTTTAAGGGCTTTCTCTTCAGGAGGAGTGTAGCACCCTGCGATAAGTCCCCAGCAGTATCTCCTCTCAGGGGGAGTCTTTAAAAGCACACGGGGTACTTCTGCCACAGAAATGGAAGAGGTCAGCTGAGCACAGGGCTCCTGACTATACCATGGCTCTGCTTCAGCCTCAGATCTCACTCGGCTTTAAATTCTTTCCATTAACTTTATCTTAACCTTTCTGTTCCATAAACAATGTTATCAGAGCTACTTAGGCTTTACTGACACATCTTCTGTATTAGTAGTTACATTTTGTTGACAGGATCAGACTGGTTGAGGTAAATGGACTCAGAGTGCAGTTGGTGACATGCACACATTTGGTCTCACCATGTACGCTTCTGGAGCATTTTCCCATGGAAAGGAGACTTACGCAACCATTCAGTCTGTCCCACTGCATTTTTGGGCCCATTGGCTGATTTCAGTTAAAATTTGAGGGAGCAGTTAATCAGCAGAGGCAGCCATCCATGCACACAGAGCATCCTCCCCGGGCCCTGCAAGCTGCACTGCGAGTTTTGCTCTCAGACACTACAGACTCTACATGGAAGAGACACTACATCTCACCTGCGCAAATTTTGGCGAAAGTTTGTGTTTTACCAGAGAATCCAACTGTAAATCCATGGGAAAACAGATTTCTTAGCCGTGCTGCTCAACTGCTTTTTAACTTTTTAAGGTAAGGTTTTTTATTATAACTGAGAGCACTGGCACTAAACGTAAAGAAACTCTTGGGTGCAAATGATCTTACAGTCATCTTTTTGCTGGGAGTATCTGCATTGGCCCAAAACTGCATCACGAGAGAAACAAATGAAGGTCATCAACAAATGATGGCAATGTTAATTACACAGTGGTGCTGTAAGTGTACTAAGCTCTGTAGTGATAGAAAAGCATCAGGCTAGCCCCGCTAGGAAGGACTTATGGTTTCCAAAGGCAGAACAACCTAAGTAGGTACCCAAAGAGTGCCAGAGCAAGAACATTTCCCAGTGGTGGGTGCTTCATGCTTGCTCTGGATCTGTGAGAAGCACCGCAGGTTCCTGGTGTCAGCCTGCTGGTGGGGGAGCTTTATAGAGATTTAAGTTAATAAAGGGAATATGGAGCAGAAATAACACAATAGTCTCGTAATGAAAGGGACCACTTCTTCAAGTGTTTTCTGCAGGCTGTGTGAGCAGGGCTGGCATTGCAGGGCGAGCTGGTGAGCACTGAGCGCTGTGGGCCCTGCTTTCAGCAAGTCCAGAGCAGAGGCAGCTCAGCCAGCCAGCAAAACTCCTCGGGTAATGGCCAGTGAGCCTACTTCTCCACAGCGGCGGTGGCAAGGAAGCTACGTAGTCCACAGGCAGTCTAATTAAGATCTACTATAAAGACAATGTAAGCTGACCTCACTCACTTTTATCTGAGAAATACAACACGTGACCCCAGCCCCGCAGCAATGTGTGCAGGAGTGAGGGACAGACTGAATAAAACCGGGTTTCCTTGGACTTTGTGCTTTGTGGTCGCATGCAACAGCGTGAGCTCTCATTGCAGCCTTTCCTTTGGGGCACACACAGGGTTGCACGGGCAGCAGCCACACAGAAGATATTTTGCGGGGGTTCTCTGCTGTCTGAGATGTGATGAGCTCATGCTGACCTCCCTCCCCCTGCTAAATGGGGGAATTAAGCAGATTATTCTTCTGTATTCTATGGTCTTTTTCCAAGAAACTAATAGTAAAGCCATATTGCTGAGCTATCACACTGGGCAGCATAGTATCTTGCAGCTGTGGTTTAAAAGTCCTTTGCAATATAGGATGAGACTGGATGTTTGCATGAGCTTCCTTTCCTTCAGCAGATAATCCCAACAGAGGCAGGACATGCTGGGAGTCCAGCAAAGGGACACCTGGGAGCTTAACAAATATATTTTAGGACCCTTCTACTTGAGGCACAGTTCTGCCAGGAAGCAAATCCCCCAAGTACATGGCTATAGGGGATGCCACCACTGTCTCTCCTCTAAAGAAGAGCGAGCTGTGGTCTGTGTGGGTAAATTGTGTGGTTGGGATTCCCCCAGAAACTTCACTAGGACCCAGGTTTCTTGGAGCTTGAGCGCATGATTGCTGATTCCTGAATAAATTAACATACTGCCTTCCTTCAGGATATTATGTGTTAGACTGAAGAGCTGAACAAGCTCGATTTTTTAAAACTAATTACCACTAGGTATAAATCTGGTCAATAAACAAGTCAATAAACATATAGGCCAGGTGGGCTTGGTAAGGAACTGGTTTGATAAAGTGCCAATTTATATTGCAACAGAGCTGTCTGTGGGCATCTTCATGGCAGTCATCACTTCACAAGGAGGCATAAAATATTTCCTGGCCATTGCTATTATTTGCCTTACCTTTTTTAAAAACATGTTGCTAATAGAGAGCTAAGACATGCACTTTATTTTCCGTACTTTTTTTGACTGATCTTAATGTATATAAACAAACCTCTCAGTATCTTATCCTCTTCTCCTCTTCTCTTCAGGGAAGTTTTTACATGAAAGTTAAACATGCTTCTGTTCTTCGGTTAGGTTTTTTGTTTTGTCTTCCTTTTCAGAATTCAGAATACCAGCGATGAAGAGAAGTGCAGTCTCTTCATCGGGCTGAGAGTGGGCTGTGCTTGCAATGACACCCGCTTCCTTCTGCCACCTCGCGGGCTGCAGCGACAGTACACAGAGCATGGATGGCTTTTCTGGCATGACACACGTTGTTTTCCCGTCATATTTAATGAAAGATCCCATGATAACAGGAAACATTACTCATCGCCACTGCTGGGCATGTCCTGACACTTCCGAAAGGAGTTTCCCCTCCCTGCGTCAGAGCTGTCGTAACAAGAGGCACCTCTCAGAGCGGTGATGACATCTTGAAAGGTTGGTTTAACCTTGTTATTGCAGCAGAAGACGAGAGACTCACCTCTATTATTAATGGGTTTGGTTGTTTGGTTGTTTTAAAGTTTGGGTAAATTTGTTATATGTGAGGCCTGCAAAAAGGGTGCTACTGTCTTCTAAGATACCAAGCAAAAGCTTTTACCCAAATGTTTTTGGCCACTGGCTCCTTCACCCTGAGAAGGCTGCCACTGAGCTATCTTCTTTTTAGAGAAAATTTTACTTCTCATCTAAAGCAGAAATGCAAACTAAACAGTAAAAGCATTGCTGGAGAAAAAGACGCCAGCTTCCCTCTGCACAGTGCTCATAAGCTCTGGAAGCTCAGCCCTAAACCTCCTCAGCTGGCTCAGCCATTCACTCAGCCACTGCCTTTGTGGGCCAACTTCTGACATCACATAACCCTCTGCTCTCAAAAAGAAAGTGGGAGAAAGGCTATAGCCATACATGGGCAGAAGAAAGGAAGGGGGAAAGAGAGACAGGATTAGGCACCTTGTCACAGGTAGCATTCCCTGAGGCAAGGAAAGAGCATCTGCTTGCAGCTAGCTAGACCACACAGCCCTGCCACCGCCTCAGACTTCAGAGCTGAGCCAAACTTGGGCAACGTGGGAGAAGGGAAGGTGCATAGGTTATATGACTGAAATCAGACTCCAAACCAGATGGCTTTAGAAAAAAGGTTTTGTTTCTCTTTGCCTTAAATGTATAGGCTTTGGCTCTACCTATCACAGGTTAGGGATGCTCAGAATGATATGGCTTGAGGAAATGTTGCTGATAGCATAAAACAAGAAGATAGGACAAGTATTAAAAAAGATTTTTTTTTCCAAGAGGGGAGCAGTTTTCACCAGGAAAATGGGGAGTGTCATAACCTGATGCTCTTCTGGTAAGACTGAACACAACCATGCAGCAGTGCATTGTCCTGCACTAGGAGGACAACTGGTTGGTACAGAGAGCTAAAGAGCTCTTCTTCTCTTCCTGCAATGCTGGGAGAGGGCTGGCTGCTGTTCTCTTTATTGCTCTTTGGGTAACCAAGAAATTCTGAATCATTTTGGGCTAAACAACCAATAGAACAACTATGTTATATCAAAGTAAATGTTAAAAATAAAGCTTTGAAAAGTTAAGTGGGGCACATTCTTTGGATTTGTTTTCACCAAGTTATCTCAAACTGAAATACAGAAGTTGAGTATTTTTACCTTCTGAATAACTGCAATTGTAGCACTGACCTTTGGGAGGACACTCACCTAAATGTAACAAGTCTGTAAGAGGCATGCACCTACATTTAAGAATGTTTTTTCTTGCCCACAGTCATATCTGTTTGACAAGTTATAACTGCTCCATTAACTTCAGAGTGTGTTGGAAAGAGCAGTGACTCAGACTTGTTGAGTGAGCCCCAATATTCTGATTATTATATGATCATTTATATATTCATGGGCCATGCTAAAAACATTATTGTTCAGAGTAACTTCCTGGTGAAGAATTTGTTAAAATTTTACAACACATTAGACATATGACTACTCCTCTCTTTACAGAAGTGACTATATAAAGCTCAGAGAACACACATAATCCTGACTTCAGAAACACATCCTGGTGCAAATGTTCCCTGCTGACACTTGAGGAGTCACTGCTAGCACCTCCCGGTGTCCCATTTACCCTGCCTCCTCAGGAAATCACATGGCCCAGAACAGGAATGTTCCCAAAAGAACATTTAGCTTCCTGCCCAACACACCTTGGCATGATGAGCCTGAGCAACCCCACCGCTCTTTTTGGCCCCCAAGGAGGTGCCTACCAGGTGCACCTGACCTCAGCACAGGAGAAGACCAACACAATGACCTGGAGCCGGAGCTGGAAGCTGGTGCAATGCCTGCAGAAAGGGCCGATGCACAAGCAGGTCTCTGCAGGGAGACTCGGTTCAGAAAGAACTCATCCATGCTGATGTCGTTTCTCTTTAGGCTACTAATTAGTGCAGCTCAGTGTAACATGCTCTGCTGATGCAGTCTGGAGGTTTGGCCTGTGCTGCTTTGCATCCCCCCTGGCAGAAGTTTCTGACCCAATGTGCCATTTGCTCTTCTCGCTCAAATGCATCCTTCCCCAGTGCAATACCACAGGGCTTGGCTCTGCCATGTTACCCAGGTCAGATGGAGGTGCCAGAGATGATATCACCGTCTCATTATCCAGTCTCAGTGAGGAGCACTGGTGCCAGCGGGAGCAGCAGTGGGGCTCAGCTCTCCCCACACCCCAGCTCATGCTGTGCCAGGCTGATGTAGCTGGAAGCCCCCACAGAAGAGTGTGCACATGCTCTGCATGGAGCTAGCCCTGCGTTTGCAGTGATCCTTTTTTGCTTTTCTTGGGTTTCTGGGCCTTCTTCCATTGTCTCTCAAAGCCTATAGCTATGTGCCCAGGAAGGCATCCCCAGGGAGACAGGCACCTGGCCCAGGGGACAGACAGGTAGCATGTCATGCAGACAGCTTGAGAGTATCTCTGGAGGGGAACTGTCAACCAAATAGGGAAATGCCTCCGTGGAAAGGAAATCTTTCCCCAAGGGGCTGAAGGATCTCCCAGGCTTGGATGCCATGCACACCAGCCAGGTGTCCTCACAGGGGTGTCAAGGAGTGAGGAAGGAGAGAGGCTTGAAAAGGAGCAGCAAGGAAGGAGGATGAAAGTGGGGGGGTCAAACAGTGCTTGAGAAAAACCTATGATTGACTGATCATAGAAAACGGAGTTACCTCATAACACAAATTGACATGGAGGTCCTCTCATGTAGTGTGAAACAGCTGGGAGCTCCATCTTTCTGTTAGACAAAGATGCTGATTTCCAAGGACTGGAGCTTTCTAGGGCAGTAATTAAGCTTTCAATGGAGAGATCAAATGCAGAATAAATACCTTGTTAACCTTGACAAAGCACAATCTTTCTGCACAGCTCATAGCAAAAGAGAAAGTGAGTGTGAAATATGGGATAAAACAGGCATTGGCTTCCCTGCATGCTGGAGGGTGGTGTCTGGCGCTTGGAATATCTGCTCAGCTGGATGGGCCTGAGCACAAATCCACCACCTCCTCACAGAAACCAGGAAGTTGCAGGCGAGTTCAAGGATAAAGAAAAATTTTCTACTTTCCTCGCTGGAACTAGGAACACACTACAGCATGGCTGTGGATGCAAAAACCCTGGGGAAGAAAAAGAGGAACGACAGGAGTTTGGTTCTGCATCCCAGCAGTTGGGCTCTGTGCCCTGTGCAGGGAGATTTGGGATTTTTCACTTTTAGGATTATTGTAGTTTTTTTCTAAATATCCATCACTGCCTCAGATGAAA